CATTGTTTGCTTTTAAATCTAGCCTGGAAAATATTTTTTCACATTTGTTTTGGCTTCGTCTTTTTATTTGCTATGAAATGTGCTTTATATGCATTGTATTGTTAGAGCTTCAACGTAATTTCAATAATTTGGCATGATTGATTTATTATGGATGATTATAATCCATCCAAATGTTATTATAAATCAAATAGACATTTTCACATTAATATAGTTCTGTTCTCTCTTACCTTTGAACATTTTCCATGAATAACACCTGGAACATACAGTATGTATAGCAGTATCAATTTTATTAATTTATTACCATAAGATAAGAAGAAGTTTCCATTATCCTGTGAGGACATTTTCCTATATAGTTTAACCATTATCTAGCTATAGTAATACTAAAAAACTTCTATTATTGATTTTAGCCTTGTGTGCAATATTTCTCTCTCTCTGTGTGTTATTATTTCACATGTCCTTTTTAACTTGTGCTTGCAGTTCTCTGAATCCACGAACAACGTCTTTTCAATCTTTAAATCATCTATTACTGAAAAAAACTAAAGCATTTTTGTTCAAATCTTCATTATTTATTTACAAAATAAATAGTTATTCTCTGTGTTTCTCACATTACATTAACCAAGTGCAAAACATTGCACCTTCTGTAATGTAGTGTTTAACAACACCGCTAAAACATTTATTATTATTAGTCTGTTACAATACATATCCTTGTTATCAGGATAATATATTAACACATTGATATTAGTGCACTTTATATCCTGAGCAGAATGTTCCCCATTTCAAATATACATTGTAGCTGTTTTGCTACTTTAAAAAACTAAATAAATCAACATTTATTCAAATACATGTTTTAAATTAACATTACAAATATTTTGGCACATTCTGATTATTCAGTGTTAAATAAAAAAAAATATGACAACAAAAAGCTATTGGTTTTTGTTAATTGGTGTGTATGGACCACGTGTTTTTTTTTAAACTTAGCTGTGGAGAAATTAATCACTGTGCAGAAAGGGTAAAACCAAAATGTTTAATTAATGTATTAACTTATTATGCAGGTGTTTTTTACACAGTACCTGAAGCTACGTACAGTACTGTGTGATCATTGTGATGTATTTTAGGCAGTGTATTCACTACTGTTACAGCTACTGGAAATAGTTATTGAGGTGTCTCAGGATCTAGAGACAATTGTCAAGACAATTGTGTCAAGACAAGTAATAATAATAATAATAATAATTGCTTACACTTATATAGCGCTTTTCTGGACACTCCACTCAAAGCGCTCTACAGGTAATGGGGACTCCCCTCCACCACCACCAATGTGCATCATCCACCTGGATGATGCGACGGCAGCCATAGTGCGCCAGAACGCTCACCACACATCAGCTATCAGTGGGGAGGAGAGCAGAGTAATGAAGCCAACTCATAGAGGGGGATTGTTAGGAGGCCATGATTGATAAAGGCCGATGGGAAATTTGGCCAGGACACCGGGGTACAACCCTACTCTTTTCTAGAAACGCCCTGGGATTTTTAATGACCACAGAGAGTCAGGACCTCGGTTTTACGTCTCATCTGGAGGACGGCACCTGTTTACAGTATAGTGTCCCCGTCACTACACTGGGGCATTAGGACCCACATGAGCCACAGGGTGAGCGCCCCCTGCTGGTCCCACTAACACCTCTTCCAGCAGCAACCTTAGTTTTTCCCAGTAGGTCTCCCATCCAGGTACTGACAAACTGTGACAAAAAAGTGTCAACATTGGACAGTTTAGAGCTTCAAAGTAAGAAAGGAACAGCTGTTTGCTCAGTTGCAGGGGGACTGAAGCACATTGATCAAAGAAGTTGACCTTGGTTATGTGCAGAGTAAATCATTAAGAGTCATCAACAGCCCAGGAACACAGGTTAAAAAAACACAGGGAGAGAGAGAAGGGGGACACATAGAGAAAGAGAACAGAGGATGGACAGCATGACACAGGCAGAGAGAAAAAGGAATGCCAGGCAATAGGTTCTGATCAACCATAGAGACCAGATTGAAGTTAAACATTTGAACATTGGTAAGAGAGCTTACCATTCTGCTGTTTTAGGAAAGTCATTTTCTTTATAAAGAATACCTAAGTTAAAAACGGCCCGTCCAGATTACTGGATGCATTTTTCAGAATATGGAGACAGATTTTCAGTTCACTTAATAACATCTGGATTTATAAATTTAACTGAAAGTGATATTCTATTCATTTTATAGGGCAAGTTTATCTCTTTTTGGTCTATTCGGTGTTATATAGGATTTTGAATACCTGGTCAGCAGTTTGAGGTTTTTCTAGATGAAGCATATAGACTTCTGAGATGCCTTATTTGTAACTGGTATTTCGTATGTTGTGTGCTGCTTAGTTTGTGTCGTGTCATAATAATACAGTGTGCCTGACTAATGTCTATTACATATCAGTTTTTAATTCATTTTATAGTGTTTAGAAACCAGTTGAAAATACTTGATAATACAACTTAACCTGTTTTCAAAATTCAGAAAGCAATATCACAATGTTTAAGAATACTACAGTATATCCATCGCAGATTACGATTTATTATGTGTAAATCTACAGAGTTGATCTCATAAAATTAATAAAATAGATTTATATATACTCAACAGAAGTGTTAGTAGAAATTACATTTCTAAAGAAATAATCTTAGTATACTCTTGTTTTCAAAGAAACTGCACATCCACATCAAAATATTGTGGTTTTACATTTTCAAAAATAAATCTACAGTAGTACTTCAGAAGGTAACAGGTCTTAGCTAGGCTGATAAGAATAAATGAGACTGAACAGATAAAAACAAAAGTAATTGATTTACTTCTTATAGAGAACAGTTTCAATACATGATATATATGATATATAAACTGATTTCTTATTTAAATTCAGTTATATACAGCATATGCCGTAAAACATCCATCTAATGCTAAAGACCCCATGTCTATAACCCCAGGAAGGTGATGGAAGACTTTGTCACTCAGTTCTTGCCATCAAAAGAGTATATTAATTTGTGAGGGGGCTTCTTCTGATAGTCCAGTGAGTCTATATTATTTAAGCTACCTTGTTTTCTAGCTTTGCTCAGATAAGACTGCAGTTTATGTTTGCTCATAAAGGTTTTATGATCAAAGTGTAATTTAGCCTACTACTGAATTAGCGACTGGGTAATCTGATTTTAGAAAAAGAGAGCATTTTTTGCTTTCTCCAAAATGGTAAAAGACACTTGAAAGAATCCAGGAATCCCTCAGAAAATATGTTATTTTTCAATTTATTTTATGAGCTCAAAAACGTTAATAATGTAAATAGAGAAGTGTGAGTTAATCAGAAACACAATGCAGATAATGTTTAGTAGATAAAATCCTGTTCATTTATTGGTGTCAAAAGCAATTTCAGGTTATCTTTCGATGGCTTTTCTAAGCCAATATGTCCAGACAGGGAGATACATTGTTCATTGTTTGAGGTATCAGTATAACTCAAGGACAAAACCACCCAAGCCTGCCCTTACTTCCCAGTCCAGTCTTCTAATTATAGGCTTTTATTGGAGACTGGTGGGAGAGCAGTAGTGATCAAAGGGGTTTATGTGCAATACTTAATACTCTTTCAAGGTAATCAGTTACTGAAATGAAGAGGATACATGAAAGGGCTTGGAAACATTTTTTTTTGTTTTCTTAGAAATGCCATCTTAGTTTTACTTTTCCCTTACTAAGCACTTCAGAAGTAATCTGAAGACTATATAAGAGGCAGACGGACACTGCCAGCAAGCAAGACAAAGGAGATGAGGTGAGTAGACAAGATATGTATATATGTATATTGTTTCTGCAGTAGGGTTTTGGTATTTTAAACCTTAATGCATTAACCTAGCACCTTTGTCTTGTCTACCCAAGATACTTACTAATTACTGGTAGTTACAATACGAGCAAATCAAAATATGACACATAAAAGTAGTTCTGTGAAAATATTTATCATTGATAAAGACGTAAATTTACTCTATATTAGTTAATTCACTTTACAAACCTTTGATGACACTGAACTCACAGGTATGACTTTCTCGTGTGGCAATGTAGTGTATAATTCTACAGAGATGACAAGAGAAGTAGTTTAACTTAGAAAATAATAGAAAAGTTTAACCTTTCAATCAGTTATCATTATTTTTCTTTTATTTCAACTTACAGCTCTGACCATGGCTAAGGTCCAAGATAACCAATCATATTATAAGAAGGTACAGTAGGTATTTAAACTTGCAATCCTTAGCACTGGTCCAAAACCCCAGGCAATCTGGAACTGGTTAGAAAATAGGTGGATTCTTAGCAGTAGAAAGAGAAAATTGCACAGAGAAAATTGTGCATTAAAAAACTGAAACACCACATCTGTTCAGAAGTGTCCAAATTAAACTTTTTTTTTAAGCTGGCTCCTCACTGCTACTTTCCCACCTGATTAAAAACAGTTAAAACTCATGTCCTATTTTTGACATAAAAGTTTCAGTCTTGTTATATTCCTTAAAAAACGTTCTTATTTATTGTATTGATGGAGAATATGTATCTAACAATATCCATTAATACTGTTTTTACTGATGGCAACGTATTGCTCGAGTCATTTCAGCACAATATTCAAAACAGTCACTTTCCTGCTTCTGCTTGAATGAGTGGTTTAGGAAAACCCAGAGCAATACAATCTTCTTTCTAATGTCTGTTTGGGGGGTGAGTGTTTTATTTAGTTTTTTTAATCAGAATGTCTCTATATTCATAAGTATAACTTTTTGATATCATTCACATTCAATTATATAGAATAAAACCAAAAATTATTTTCTAGAAATAACAAAGATAGTGCTTAAAATAACTTCAAATGCAAGAAAATGGGTTTATGTTTAACTAAAATTTACCTTTCTTTATGTTTAACTGAAAATGTACCTTTAAAAAGCAAAATGTCTTAATTTGTAATTTTCTGTTTTAAAGGTGTTGTGATGTCTGCTTACAAAAAGAGGAGTACTATGGAACACACAGAAGAACACTTTGCTATAGTAGGCATCGGATGTCACTTTCCTGGAGGTGAGAGAGCATGGAGACATTCAAAATGCAATAACAAAAAGGACAGGCAATGATTATTTCTTTTTAGAATTTTTTTTTCATAGTGCATTGGGAGAGTTTTTCTTACAGAACATTGTAAATGAACGTTTGCGTCTCAAAAAATCCCTGTGCTCTCAGCACGCAGGTAAAGTGACAATTTATCTGGCAAAGGACCAAGAATTACAAAGAAAAAAATTAATTCAGCCACACTTATTTAATAAACAGAATATATACTCGCTCTCTGCTCCACAAAGAAGGACAGGAAATAAAACCCTTAAATAACCACAACTGTAAAATTTGAATGATCTTTTTAAGTATAACAGATGTTTCAAATACAAATGTGAACTTTCTTCAGTGCTACCGGACGAATGTCTCAATATATTTCCAAACAACTTTAATCAGGATTGTGATGGTCTGAGCAGGAGTTTTTAGTCACCACAGCAGTGGAGGACTGCATTGCACTACATTGATTAGGTCTTGAGACACTGGGTCATTTTGTATCACTTTTTCTCTAGTTTCACGCTGTCTACATCTAAATAATAATTTGTACTTCCTGTACTCCCAAACCAGCAATTAGCATAGCATAACAATTTATAAATACAAATTGCTGATTCATAAGAATAAAATATAAGTGGAAAATTACAAATTTACAAGAACAAATTGCTGTTGAATGGATATTGCCATGTGTACATTGAAAATGCTTTGCAAAGTGGAAAAACATGGTAAAATTTACCAACTTAACAATGTTATCAAATTGTCTTTAAAAGTGAAAGACTTGTGATTTACTGTTTAATACGTATGTAGAAAAGTCAGTGGTTGTCTCAAAATATGTTTAAATATGTAGTGTATTGGAAAAGACCGTCAAAATGAGAAGTGGGAAGTATTTTTTAGTAATGGTGACTAAACGAAACCATCCATAAACTTTATACTCGACTTTCTCTACAGGTGAGGGAATAGACAACTTCTGGAAGGTTCTTCTGGAGGGAAGGAACTGTGTAGTAGAGATCCCGAATGAGAGGTTCAGCAGCAAGTCCTGGTACGATCCTGATGACAGCAAGGCAGGAAAATCACGGACTACTAAAGCAGCTCTCACTGATGGGTAAGAGAGTCTGTCACAGGGTCTAATCCAAGATCGGAAAACCCATTGGTTAATCATATGTGTCTTGAGAATTTAAACTTCCTAAAAAAGCACACAAATACACACCTATACCATTGATAAAATATCATTACATAAGTATTAAATTAATAAACATATTGTGCTGTACAGTTATAAATAGAAAGCTCAGAATTAAAGAGTGAAGTACATTAAAGGGATGTCCAGTTTTTTTCCTGGAGACCAGTTCAACAGGTTTTAGAGACAGGAATTAAATTGGTTTTTAAAGGCACCTGAATTGGGATCATTTTGTCAAGAGATATGTTGGATAAAGCCATTCAGAGATAGGTTGGAATGAAAAATACCGTTCAGCTTCCAAGGACCAAGCCTCCCTTAAATTACAGATAAGTAGATTTTAAATAATAAATATTTTTTTCACTTTTAGTTGCCAATATTTTCATGTTCTCCAACTTCCAGGTTCAACGCATTCGACCACAAGCTCTTTGGCATTACTGAGGCTGAGGCTGACCGCATGGATCCTCAGCAGAAACTGCTCCTGGAGTGCACCTACAGGGCCCTGGAGGATGCTGGGATACCAATGGAGAAAGCCAGCGGAACCAGAACAGGAGTTTACATTGGTACTTTTTTATTTTGTGGAATGCTGCTGTTTGCTATCATGCACAGTATTAAAAAGGCTTTTGCATTTAATGTAATGATAGAAAAAACATGTTATAGTGCAGTGTATTACAACAGTACTTGAATAAAAGTGAAATATTAGTAAATAATAATTTTGAAAACAATATTATAATCATAAAACAAAAGTGGCATTAACTTTAATTAACACAGTAACTTTATGGATAAATGTCTATAATATATGGATTTGCAAACTACTTTTTATAGTGTATGTTAACCAACCATATTGCACCTATTGTAATATGGCTACAGTTTGTCTCTGAGTCTATATCGCTTTATGTACAGTACAGTAGTTGTGTTTACAAAAGGTATAAACACAACAAAATGGCGATGTTTCACTTCAGTTTTAGATGAGTCAAAAGAGTGGAAAAGTGACAGGAGCTGTTACAGTTGGCTATGTAAGGGAGAGGAATATGTGAGTCAGGGGAAATGCTCAGACAGAGTTTCTTATAAAGGCTAAAGGCTAACTAATAAAACTGAAAACCAACACAAACCCACATACAAAATGGCAGGATATACAGTGGTGTGAAAAAGTGTTTGCTCCCATCCTGATTTCTTATTTTTTTGCATGTTTGTCACACTGAAATGTTTCAGATCATCAAACAAATTGAAATATTAGACAAAGATAACACAAGTAAACGCAAAATGCAGTTTTTAAATGAAGGTTGTTATTATTAAGGGAAAACAAAAATCCAAACCTACATGGCCCTCTGTGAAAAAGTGATTGCCCCCCCTGTAAAAACATAAATCAACTGTGGTTTATCACATCTTTGGAAAGCTGAGCTCAATTTCTCTTGCCACACCCAGGCCTGATTACTGCCACACCTGTTCTCAATCAAGAAATCACTTAAATAGGACCTGCCTGACAAAGTGAAGTAGACCAAAAGATCCTCAAAAGCTAAACATCATGCTGCGATCC